ATATATATTTTGCCTCACAGGCAGTTCCTTTGAAATGACACCATTTTCCAGTGATACTGAAACTTTTCTTGCAATTCCTCCCACTTCTCCATGTTGCTTTAAGCGTCTGGAATCATGGCCACGAACAATGGATGCAAGTTCATTTGGGTCAATGCCAAATCCAGCTTGTCTAACCTCTTCTGAGAGCATGTATTCAACTCGACTACCAGCTGTACAAGAACAAAAAGTAAAAAAATAAAGTTTTAGTGGAAATATTGAAGGGTTTGATTTATTATTGGTAGTTTGGTGGAGTTCATACCATCAATAAATTGCAATGCTGCTTTTTGAACATATAGAGCAACTCGTATTTTCTCCTGGCAAGAAATAATAGCAATAGTAAGGCTACTACAAATTTTAATGAAAAAAAAACAATAAGATTCAGTTGGAAGTAAGCAGAAGTATAAAAGTGATTGTGTTTCATTGCCACAACCACTTTGTTTAGCATCTCTTGATTAAAGGTCATTACCCAATGTTGGTTCCAGCTATCTAGGGTTTTGGGAGGGGTAGATTGGATCATTGGATACAGTTCTAACCTTTGACATTTTTTGCACAAAGTGGCCACTCTCAAACTTAAACCTGAATTTTCACACTTGACAGACCAAGATTTTGTCCTTTTTTTTAATCAATGCCCAAGATTTTACACTTACACCAAGTAATGTTATTAAAGGAACAAATAAAAGAAACCCATAACTGTCATGAAACCCAATACAAACATAAATATAATATGATATTAATCTTGTTCTACACTCCTTGAAGACAAGAAAGTAATGCTACACGAACAACATTGAAATCAAGAATATTAAAGCTTAATCTTGATGAGTTATTTCTTGGTAATCTAAGCTTCCAAGGGGTAAAGGTGTTCTCTAGAGATCAGATGGGAAGTGTCATACTTAAATATTCAAGTTCAACCGATGAAGCAACCTCCTTGTGAGAGGAAATATTTTGCCTCTACATGGTTTAAGATTGGACTACTCATTGAGCTGGACTGACTTGATTGTTTAAGAGGATTGTCAAGTTGTTATTAGACGGGGATATCCTCAAGATTGCTAGGTTGTTACACTATTTTCAATACATATCTAACATATATGTACCTAAAACAATAGAATTTAACACTTTGTACTGTTTGAAATGGTAGAAAACTGATCTACTTCATTCCATTGCCAATCGGCATATTTATACAGTAAGCTGCTGCAAATAAATAGAAAAAACTTTCTAAATCAATCTCTATAATTAAGGGAATCAATCCCTATAATTAAGGGACTAATCAATCCCTATAATTAAGGGATTAACCTTTTTAATCCCCATATTTAAGGGATTATATTTTTCCACAATCCTAGGAATAAATATTCACATAATTCTATTTTTACACAATTACCAAATATAAATGCTAACTACCAAATATACATTTACACCAGTAATCCCACATTTTCCAACACCTACAATAGAAGCCAAAGATGATAAAGTTAAGTTGTTGCAAGCATTCATGGCATGTCAAGAAATTGATGGGATGTTGGATGTATCCATAGAGCTACCTTGGCTGCTCCCTGGAAGGCCATCCATGATTTTTGTCCTACCTTTCTAAATCATATCAGTTATGACTTGGCTTCTGGTCAGAAAAACAAATTTTGTGAGGATGTGTGGACTGGGGATATCCCTTTAGGTGAGAGATTCCCTTCTCTTTTTGATCTTTCTAGGTTCAAGGGTATGCCTATTTCTGAATTCCTAAGTCAGCATTCTCATCCCCCTCAAGGCTGACGTGGAACTTTGGCTTTAAGAGGAACCTTAGAGAGTCTGAACTTCCTAGTGTGTCTGAATTGTTAGGCTTGCTGAATTCAGTATTCTTAGGAGAAGGTGGATCAGATTCTAGGGTTTGGGGCCCTAATTCTGATGGGTTATTTTCTTAAATCCTTCTTACATTCTTTGGTAGCCACCAGCCACCTCTTCTCCTTCTTTCCCAGTCAAGGAAATTTGGTACTCTCCCATTTCCCCTAAAGTCAGTGCTTTCTGTTGGGAAGTATTTCATGGTTGTATTAATACCTATGATCTACTTCAAAGAAAAAGACCAAATTGGTGTTTGTCCCCCAACTGGTGTGTCCTGTGTAAGTTGAACGGTGAGACTACACTTCATCTTCTAGTCCCCTGCCCTTTTATTAGATTTATTTGAAATTGGTTTGCTTCCCTCTTTGGTTGCAGGTGGTCTTCTCCTGATTGGTTGAATGGCTTGTTTAGCCCTACTGGCATTAGTTACACTAAAAGGAGGGGTAGGATCTTGTGAAGGTATACTAGAGCAGCACTATTATGGACTGTTTGGGAGGAAAGAAATGTAAGAATATTTGAAGGAAGAAAAAAAAGCAAGGAAGCCTTGGTTGAAACAATAACTTTGAGAGTGTCACACTGGGCAAAAAGCATGAAGTTGTTCTCAGATTTTAAGGTTGAAGATTTCTTCGAGGCTTACGGTATTATTGCTACCTCTTCATCTACAAGACAGAAATCTTTGAGACATGGTTTCCCCCTATAGGCGACTGGAAGAAGCTGAATTTTGATGGGAGTTGTGTGGGTAATCCGGGCCCCTCAGGCATAGGGGACCTTTAGAGGTGAAGATGGAAACATCATTGCTCTATACTTCGGTCCTATGGGATAGGGTGATGTGGCAAGGTCAGAGTTTCTGGCTGCAGTATATGGGGTTGGAAAGGCCAAAGAGCTAGGTATTAACACACTGATCATTGAGGGAGACTTGAAAACTGTGATAAAATGGCTGCAAAAGGGGGAAAAGGTGACATGGCAATTGAGGAATGAATTCAGGAGATTTAAATGGCTCTCAAAGGACATGTCAATCTGAGCGAGATGGATGAGGAGAATTGCTAACAGCCTGGCAGATAGGTTAGCTAAGCAAGGAGTACAAAAAACACTTCTGTTTTGGGCTTGAATGTAAATTTGGTTTGGGTTAGCTTTCTAAAGCTGGGTTTCTTTCACAGCTTCTTGTTATAACCATATTTTCTTCTAACCAATAAAATATTTTCTATGTTTCTGATAAAAAACAATGATAAAGTTAAGTTTGACTTGAAAGTAAAATAATTTATATATAATGGTTTTCTAATCTACAGGTGTTCTACCATTTATTTAAAGTAAAATCATTCAAATTATAAATCATAAAATTTTTACAACATTGCCCTCCTATAGGTGTTCTACCGTTGGTCGTAGGTCACACCCTCATACATATCCTTAATTAGGCCCATATATCTATTTGGAACTCTCTCCCTCCCTCCTTTTATCTAGCATCTTCTTTTCTTTCATTATCTTATTAAATAAATTAATTAGCCATAATAAGCCTACCTCTCCCTTGTCTTTTAATACTTCTAGTGAAATATCATCAAGTCCTAATTCATTTCCCTTCATTATCATATTTAATGCCTCTATTATTTCAATAATTCAAATTTTGTGAGGGTCCATGTTATTTTAAATACTATTAGAGTTACTAATCTCTCCTCCATTAGCACTATCTGCATGTTCTTTATTTAATAATTTTATGAAAATGTAAAGTAATTTTATACAAACGGTTACAATAAGCAAATGCCTCCCCGTCTAATATTTTTTCAAAATAATTTTTCCATCTTTCCTTGATCTCATTTTCTACCAAAGCTCTTTGCTCTTCCTCTTTAATGCACCCAATATGGTTTAAATCTCTATATTTCCTTTCTCTTCTTTTTACTAGTTTATAAATTCCACCCCCCCCCCCCTCTTTAGTGGCTAACTTATGAGAAGTCATCATATGCCTTCTTTTTATTAATCTTTATAACATGTTAATTTTATTCTAATTAAATTTTGAACTTCTTCATCCCATCATCAAGTTTTTTTGGCATTTTGTCATTTCCCTTTGATCTCTCTTGAAACTTTCTTTGCCACTTTTTTTTATGTAGTTAGCAATTTCAAACCATACATCATTGGTCTTTCCATCTAAATGTGTAGCCATCTATGTGGCATTGACACTCAAGCAAGTATTTTTTTACTGAATAACAATCATTAAACTCTGTAATTACATTTTATGTCTCACCACAAAGGATATATCTAAAAATTCTAAATTGCCTACGAACCACATTGTGGCACAAAGTTTTTGAAATTTCAAGCATCTATAGAAAGATATCAAACAGATAGGATTTTTTGTGCCACACATAATGTATAAAATGTATTTATTCTTTATGAATCCAGTCACAAATAAGATTCTAGTGGAGCTGGTTTCACTAGTTCAGTGACTACCACTCCCTAGAGGATGACATTTTAAATTATGGGTTGGTTGGAAGCGTGTGTGATCCATCAAATGCCACATCACCTGAGACAAGCTTTTCAAAAACCACTAAGACAAAGGACTTTATACACTCCCACTTTTTCCCACTTTTCAATTAATGTGCCCACGAGCAAGTTCCAAGAAACTTCGTCCTTGATGCTCTTTTAAAACAAGTGGCTGTGAGCTATGTAATCTGATTTATACATATCTATATTCTCCTTTTAGAACCACCTTTCTTAATGGGGCCAACATAGCAGTCTACATTAACAACCGCGAAAAGAAAAAGAAAAAGACTAGATTAACACCCAACCCCAATCTCGAGTAGACCAGATGATGATTTTGTGCATCATATTTTTCATGATTCTCACCATCGAGGTTTTAGTTTTTTCTTTCTTGCCCATCCAGGTTAGTATTGTATCTGCAATACGATATTAATGAGCCCGATGTAAATTATAAACAAACACTTCTTAATATTTAGTGCTTAGTGCTTACCACCGAAAAAATAAATAAATAAACAATAATAAAAAACCAAAACGTGGAATCCAACAAGCCTTTGGCTTATTCTGTTGTGAATACCAATATTATAGGCATCTTAGTGATGTTTAACAAATAACAAGTCTTCTCTCTTCAAATATAAAAGGGCACTGGAATGCAACTAAAATTAATTAATTAATGGAAAAGAATGGGTCAAAAATATCACAAGTTGTTGCCAAAAGGCTGATATTAACTGTGAAGGTCAGAGCCCCCGCAACACGGCAAACTCTTCCTTCAGGCTTCAACTCGAAGTTCCCGTTTGGGAGGGCTTCTGCGTTAACTGAGACACTTTACAGGATTTTTAATTTTCACCAAACACGCCTTCATAGTGTTCGGGTTTATCAGCTCATGTAACGCCATAAGCTGTTGTATGAAAGCCCTCCCAAATAGACATAATCTCTGGTTTTTATAGATTGCATATTATTAAAGAAACTGTAGACGCATCACCACCATAAATCTCCAGAGGCTCCTGTTGAATTTCTCAGAGAACCTTCAAAGTGCCAATATGAACTGTTTGAATTCCTGTCAGTGGAACCAATGTAGCCCTAATAGACAACTATCCTAGTCCTAGTCTCCTACACTGCCCATTCTTTTTTTGGCATTGCCCTTTCAGACTCAGAGAAATGCAAATTGAATGATAACAAATCGATGAGATTAAGGCAAAATAAAACAAATTAACGACAAATGAATTGCAAATGGAAACTGATAGAGACCGCACCTGTATACTCAACTTCTTCTGTTCGTCTTGTCGTCTCTTCTCTAGATCGGCACAATACCGAAACCTCCTCTTCGGATTCTTCAGGATCGTCACAGCTTGTCTCCATCGCTTTAGAGCTTCTTCCGACGAGTTCTTCGATGGAACATCAAACTCATTTCCCACTAGCGATTCCATTCTAAAAAAGATATCTGAGAAACGTCCTTCTCCCCCTACTCCCAACCAATAAGATAAAAGAAGCTTGACTAAAAGTGAAGAAAGGCTACAGAGGTAACGATAAAAGAAAAGGCTCCACTGAAAGAGAAGAAAGACTGTAGAGAGAGTTTTCTTTTAAGCAGGCCTGTTGAAGTTAGACAAGTACTGCGATATCTTCACATCTGGGTTGATTTGGTCGAACTGGTAAGAAACGATCTAATCGCTCATGACATGCCATTAAACACAACGTAATGACGACGAAACAGGATTCAAGTGGCTGATCCCACATAATTGGATATGATGACGATGACGACGACGACGACGAACCACCACAGCTTTGATACATGTTCCTTCAGTCGTTCAAATATTATTAAGATACAATTCTCGCCATCTGTTTCAGTTCCGACAGAATTCCACGGCTAATTTTACGGTGAAAGTGATTATACTTTCCGATCCTTATGCCCTTTTCTCGCCATTGTGACTTGCCATTAAACCTCTGTTACCTCCCCTGCGGTACAGTACATACTCATCAAATTTCCAATTTCCAATTTCCAAATATATATATTGTTAAATTGCTGAAAAATACCCTGTACTTTCCTACAGTTGTGGTTTAGTACAGTAAGTAATCTACTTTATGAATTATGATAAATGTTCATGTTGAAAAGACTCATCTATATCATCCTTAGATATTGGGTAGAATCCACCCACTTTGATCATATTTACCATGATCAATATTTTTTTAAAACACAAAAATAAAAAGTAGGAGACGCAAAAATTGATAAAAATTTAATTAATTATACTAGTAAAATGTCAAATTAAAAAAAAAATGATATGTTTTTTCGAAAATATATTTCAATCAAAAAATCAAAATTATAGAAAAATACATAAAATGATAAAATTCTCAAATATATAAAGTTCAAAAAAGCAAAAAGAAATTGCAGAAAAACAAATAAAATTCCTAATAAACTCAAAATATATATATATATATATATATAATTCAACAAACTACACAGAAATTGTAGAAACAACACAAATTTTATGAATTTTATGGTGAGTGTAATATGGAATGGAAGGGCAAACTTAGAAGCCAATTTACAGTCAAAGTTGGGTATTTTGGTCACTTTACCCACTTTCGTCAAAGTTGAGTTTCAGCAATTTAATCATTTGTTTGCATTATGAAAATAAGTTCCAATAAGTACTTCTTCTTTTTTTCTACTTTTGAAAATAAGCACTTATTTAAGAAGCCCAAATTTTGAACTTATTTTTAAGTGCTTATTTCCTTTCAGGCATGTCTTTACTTGCCATGTCATTTTAAAAATACATATACTACCCCTTTTTTTAAATAAGTGATTTTTCACCAAGCACTCAAGTGCTTTATTTATCAAATTAGCAATCTCAAACATAGCCTAATCCCCATCAATCAAATTGGGATATACTCCTCAGATGAATAATAATACATAAGTATGGGAAATGTTCTCAATACACGGTGGAATGTGCTTGTGAGGTTGGTGTGAGGTGCACTCTATGAGGAGCAAAACCAAACTCCTAGAGATGTTTCCAATGCATGTGTTGTGCTTATGGGGCATGTGTCCTTTTTTTCTCATTTCTCTTAAACTTAGCATGACTTTTCAAAACCTCTAGAGAACCCCTATTTGTTGTTTAAAATTAACTTTCCATTAAATCACCGTTATTAATCATGCAAGATGCCAACCAGCTGGTTGGTAAGGTCTCCTGTTGTTGTAATGGAGATTTGGGGTCAAATCCCAGTTGCACCGGGGTTTGGGGGTTATGGGTAGGGGGATGGGTTACCCTGTTGTGTAGAACTACTGATGGAAGAGGTATTCCACCAAAAAGAGATAACAGTGAAGATCAGGGAAGGTAGAAAAAGGGCAGTTATCTTGTAGGGGCAGCGATCGCTTGGTTTCAAGGCTTTCTTGATGGAGCAACGAATGTAAGTTGGCTAGCAGAATGGAAGGGCATCCTAAGACTACCAAATAAAACTTACATGGAAAATAGAAGAAGAAACTCAAAAAGATGGTTCATAACATTGGAAGAGAGGTTTGAGAAAGGAAGAAAACAGATAATTATTATACCAGAAGGTAAAAATTTAGAAGGGTGGATTGGGATAGCCAATGAACTGTATCAAAGAGTAACCAAGATCTGGATGATAGAGAAACAAAAACAACAGGAGGTTCAGAAGCGAGATGAAGAAAGATTGAAGGAAAACAAGGTGGTCTCGAAGGAGGAGATGAAGGAGAGAAGAAAGAGATTAGAAAAATTGGGGGCAGAGGAAGAATTTGATGAAGCAAATACTGTTCTGGTGGCTCTATCAACTACGATACCCAAAATACTGGTAGAAGGGAAAAGTGAAGATTGGGAGAAAAAGGTAGTGCTCAATGCGAAAAACATGGTGAAAGACTGGAAGTCGGTGCTGGATGAAGTGTCAAACAAACTGGGACTGACGGGGACGATCATTCTCATGCCATTTGAAGATAATAAGGCGATGCTGGATGTGGGCTTTGAGGAGGTAGAGTTTAAGACCATTGAAACTCGGGAGGGCACTATAATGATCGAAAGATGGTGTCCTTCCCGTAACTCGAAGAGCTTCAATGACAGAAGCTTTCGGCTGAAACTGATAGGACTACCGTTTAACCTTTGGCATAAATCTATTTTGGAAAAAATAGTAACGGCCTTTGGAGGGGCATTGATCTCCTACAAAAAGCTGAACTTGGAAGGCAGTCGAGCTAAGAATAGCAGGAACCAAGCCTGAAGACATCCCCCGTTCCTTCGATCTGCAGGTTGAAGGTTTGTGGAGCAGAGTCTGGGTTGCTTCAGAATTGGAAGCGACGCTATGGAGGGAAAGCTCGAAGGTTGAAGAAGAAGATGATGTGGTCGGATGGGTGACATGTGGAGACAACTTTCCAAATAAACAGACACCTGGAGAAGAGAGACATGGCAGAAGACAAAGTGTCAAGTCCGTGGGCAGACCGGTGTCCATAAAAAGAAAGTATTTCAAGTGGTGGGGCAAAAAAAGCGGGGTTTAACTTCATTAAGAAAAGACAAGATTTTTCAAAATTAAATGAACCACTGAAGCGAACTGGAAGAAGAGCTGACTACAAGGTTTGTAAGGAGTTGGGCGAGCTGGCACAAGCAACCTCTAATAGGCACGTGAGCCAGTCGACCAAAAAGCTGGGCGAGCCGACACAAGCAACTTCTAATAGCCATGTGAGCCAGTCGACCAAAAAGCTAATAGACAAAAGACTGGGAATATCTTCTTCTCCAGCCCATTTGAACTCATCCAAAAAGCAGAAGGGGGGCAGCTTGATATGGAGATTGCAACAAAGACAAGAGGAGTGCCCCAACCCGAGATTCTCAAGGAAAACCCAGGAGAAGTTCTACGAGAGTGACTCTGAACAGAGTAGTTCAGAAGAGTCCGACTCCTCGGACGAAAAATGCTGCGATGAGAATGATCAAGACCAGAACTGAGCTACGGATCAGGGTATTGAAGATCTCAACTTAGAAGCATTCTTCAATCTCCAACTGGACTGTTATTATTCTCCAGTCCAATTGTATATTAGACATACTCCATTTCAAGTTCGGTCAGGTAAAATGGACGATCTGCATTCAAGGGACAAGAACCTTGACCAGATGCAACTGCAGAATCAAAGGGAATTAGCAATAATGAAAGTTTCGAACCAGGAGACAAACATAATAGTACCAAACAATAACAAAGCACCAGAACCAGGTCAATTCCAATTGATTCAGATGGATTACTCCCTAATAGAAGCACTTGTCGAGCCAGATTCCAGGGCTATGGTCAGAATTCATCCATCGAGTCTGTCCCTCTTAGCCACCACAGAGACACAAGGTTTGTCAAGTAACAATGTGAATTTGCTTTGGGTTACTAATGGTGCTAGTGGTGCCTTTACAGATGCTTCAGCTGCATACCATGACCTAAGAGAAACCCATGATACTGAAAGTGCCAAGGATGAAGACTTTGAGATTTTGGGATCTAGGGGGAAAGGTGTGTAAAAAGAAATAGTGGTAGGTACAGAGGATTTAGCAATGGAGAAAGGGGGAAGTGAAGGTTGAGAGAAGGAAGCAAAAGTAGATGTGAAAAGCCCAAAAGAAGGCCAATCTGATGAGGAGATCCCGTTAATCAAATGGGCAGAAAGAATGGGGTTGAAAATTTATTAGTCAGATCTAGCTAAGACCCAAATGAAGTTGAAGGCCAGTTGGGGTAAAACAGGGAAGAGGAAATCGAGGGAGGTGGAAAAACTAAGCAGTGGTTGGGGAAAGAGAGCAAAGGAGAATGAGAGTAGGGGTAGGAGAAATGGAAGGTGAAGAGAGTAGGAAGGGTAAAAGGGAACTAGAGCTAAGGTGAAATGAAGATAGTGAGTTGGAACGTCAGAGGTTTGGGGAGAGCAACAAAATGGCTTGTAAAGGAATTATTGAGGAAAGAAATGCCAGATATTGTAATGTTACAAGAATCTAAGGCTATGATGATTGATAGAAAATGGGTAAGAAGTATCTAGAGAAGCAAAAGGATTGGCTGGGCTATGGCTCCATCTTGTTGAGCATCGGGAGGAATAGTAACCCTGTGGAATGGGGAGACAATAGAGTGCGTAGAGGAATTAATAAGAAGATTTTCGGCATCAGTAAAATTGAGGAAGGTAGATGACAGTTGCACATGGGTTCTCGCAAACATCTACGGACCTAATTCGTATAGGGAAAGAAATGAGCTATGGGAAGAGCTGACTGATGTGAGAGGACTGTGGCAGGGACCATGGTGTCTGAGGGTGATTTTAATGTAATCAGACATCTTGATGAATCTAATAAGCTGAGACAGAGGGTATCCACCAACATGAGGAGATTCAATAGATTTATAGAAACTTTGAGCTAAAGGAGATTGAAAGTGGTCAACAAAGATTCACATGGACTAATTGTCAAGAAAATCCTCTATGTTCAAAATTGGATAAATTCCTTGTGTCTATGGAGTGGGAGGAACTTTGGAATAATATGGTAAGTAGAATATTACCTAGAATCACTTCGGATCATTGGCTAATTTGTATTCAACAAAGAGTGGGGGGAGAGGGACCGAAGCCTTAGAATCGAGAACATGTGGCTTACAATCTCAGAGTTTATGCAAAAATTAAAGGAGTAGTGGAAGGAAGACAACACCCAAGCTGTTTGGGAAGGTATTAGATTCCACGGGAAACTCAAGAATTTGAAAGAAAAAATAAAGGAGTGGAAATTGAATAAATTTGGGAGATTAGAAGAAAGAAAGGCAAAACTGATAAATAGAATTGAGGAAGAGAGAAAATATATTGGAAGCAAAAATCACGGGTGAGATGGATTAAAGAAGGTGATGGGAACACCAAATTCTTCCACATGATGGCAAATGGGAGAAAAAAAAAGAATCAGATCTCGGTGTTAGAAATGGAAAATGGAACTTTAACAAATCAAGACGAGATTGCTAAGGCTTTGGTGGATCATTTTAAATCAATTTTCAAAAGGCCTGCATTAGGAAGATGGGGGATGGAAGGATTGGAATGGCCAATTCTAGAAGAGGTGATGAGCAGAAATCTAGAGAAAGAATTTGAGTATGAAGTGAAAAAAGCAATTTTCGCAATGGATCGATCTAAGGCGCCTAGGCCTGATGGATTCACGATGGCCTTCTATCAAGATTGTTGGGAGTAGTTGAAAGAGGATGTGATGAAAGTCTTTAAGGAATTCTATCATAGAGGGGTAGTAAGTCGGGGTGTTATTGTTACCTTCATAGCATTGATCCCAAAGAAATCTAGTGCTTGCCATCCCAAGGATTTTAAGCCGGTCAGTTTGATAACAAGCCAATATAAGATCCTTGCCAAGGTCCTTTCCCTGAGGCTAAAAAAGGTCATCCCAACAATTATCTCTCAGTCTCAAGGGGCCTTCATCCAAGAAAGGCAAATCACCGATCAAATCCTAATAGCTAATGAATGTGTGGAGGATTTCAAGAAGTCTGGAAAGAAAGGCATTGTGTACAAATTAGATTTAGAGAAAGCCTATAACTTTGTGGATTGGGATTTTCTATTGAAGGCTCTTAGGAATTGTGGATTTGGGGCAAGACGGTGTAGATGGATTAAAGATTACCTACAGTCCTGTCACTTCTCAATACTAGTCAATGGAATAGTAAATGATTTCTTTAATGCCAAGAGAGGAGTTAGACAAGGAGATCCCCTCTCCCCCTTTCTCTTCATGATTCTAGTAGAAGTGTTTAGCAAATTGATTTTGAAGGCGGATGTAACATGATTGCTAAAGGGTTAGAGAGTAGAAAGGGAGAGTGTTGCAGTTACTCATCTTCAATTTGCGGATGACATCATCATTTTTTGTGAAAATGGAGATGAGTTGGTAGCAAGGAACCTTAGGTTGGTGGTTAATCTTTTTGAAAAAGTGACAAACCTGCAAGTGAACCTCAACAAGAGTGTAATAGCTAGAATTAACCTAAACCAAGAAGAGATCAATATTTGGGCAAGGGAATTAGGTTGTATGTGAAGTGAGTGGCCTTTGAAGTATCTAGGACTCCCTCTAGGTGCAAACCCAAAAAGCTTAGGTTTCTGGGAACCAGTAATAGAGAGGTTTGAAAAGAAGCTGACAACATGGAAGAGAAATTATGTCTCATTGGGGGGAAGGATTACTCTTATCAGAGCCATCTTAGCAAATCTCCCAGTTTACTATCTTTCGATGTTTAGTATGCCTCAAGCTATTGGGAAGAAATTAGAGAAGATAATGAGGGATTTCCTATGGGAACCTGATGAGAAGAAGAGAGATCATCTAGTTAGATGGGAAGTAGTGACTAGAAGGAAGGAGTTGGGAGGGTTGGGCATTGGAAGACTTAAGGAGAGGAATGAAGCTATCTTGGGCAAGTGGTTATGGAGATTCCCAGGTGAGACAAATAGACTTTGGCACAAAGTGGTAACCAGTATACATGGGCTCTTAGAGAATGGATGGGATGCTGGAATTTCCAGCAAAGCATCAAGCTTGTCACCATGGAAGGCAATTCACAGACTTCTCCCCTCCTTTCTTAGTCATATCAGATTTTATCTTAATTCAGGTAATAAAATCAAATTTTGGAAAGATATTTGGGTGGAGGAATCTTCCTTAAAAACCCTCTTTCCCTCCATTTTTGCTCTTTCATCCCTCAAAGGTAGACCCATTGCTGAATTTCTTGCCCCCTCCCCACCCTTGTCTGGTCCGACTTGGAACCTGGGACTTCGCAGAAATGTCAGGGATTCAGAACTGGAGTCTTTGTCTTCTCTACTTTAGGTGGTTGATGGGGTGTGGCTTGACACCTCTAAACAAGACTCTAGACTTTGGTCTCCCCATCCATCACGTGCTTTCAATTGTGCCTATTTTTTCAAGTCTTTGTCTTCTCCTACCCAACCTAAGGAACCCTTCCCTTTACAAGAAGTTTGGTGTCGACCCATCCCTCACAAGGTGGGTGTTTTTTGTTGGGACGTATATCATAGTGCAATTAACACTAGTGACCTGTTGCAGAGGAAAAGACCTGGTTGGTGCCTTTCACCAAATTGGTGCTATTTATGTAAGTCAAATGGTGACAATGCTTTTCATATTCTTGTTTCTTGTCCTCTTGCTAGCAACATTTGGGATTGGTTTTTCTACCTATTTGGATGCAGGTGGGACACCCCGATGAGCTTGGAAAGATTGTTTGCACCATCTACTTTTAGATGGCCAAAGCAAAGAGGGAGAATGATGTGGAGATGCACAAGGCAGCAATACTATGGGTACTATGGGAGGAAAGAAATCAGAGATTATTTGAAGATAAGGAAAGATGCAAGGCATAAATGATAGAAAGTATTATGATGAAGGTGATCTCATGGGTGAAAACACTGAACCTATTTTCAAATTTTATAGTGGATGATATGATTAGAAATTGGAGGCTAATTGCTTCTTCTTCCTCGGCAAAAAAGAAGATCCTGAAGGAGTGGGTGCCCCCTGAACCAGGATTTGTCAAATTGAATTTTGATGGCAGTAGTTTTGGAAACCCAGAAATATTTGGAATCGGAGGGGTTATAAGAAATGAAAGAGGAAATGTGTTGGGGATGTATTTGGGTCCCATTGGAATGGGTAATTCCATTACAGTTGAACTGAAGGCAATGGTATATGGGATACAAAAAGCTAAGGAGATGGGGGTGGAAAGGTTGGTTGTGGAGGGGGATTCCAAAGTTATTATTAGTTGGCTAAAACAGCATGATAGCACACCCTGGATATTCAGAAATGACATCAAGAAGATTAAAAGTCTATCCAAGGATATGCAGCTTTCAATTCAGTGGACCCATAGAGCAGCAAATGGAATTGCAGACCAGCTAGCTAAACAAGGGATGAACATGGATCAATGTTTCTGGGCCCAATTGTAAAAGTGAAAAGTAAATTTATTAGTGGATGCACTGTAGTGGGGTAGCCGAGGCTACTCAGAAACTGTAACCCCTGTAATTTCTCTACATTAATGAAATTTCTTTTTATTGATCAAAAAAAAATGTTACCTCGTTGTTAGACCTGTTCATGGGCCAGGCCGGGCCGGGCTCAGGCCGGGCTTTTACTCATCATTAATGGAAATACGCTAGGCCTGAGCCCGAGCCCGGCCCGACCAACGGGCCTATAACTTGGGCCTGAGCCCGGCCCTGATAAAAAGCCCGAAGCCCGACCTAATAAAGAAATTACAATTTTCCCTATTCAAATTAGAATTAAAAATTCAGATGGTTTTTCTTTTTTCCTATTTAAATGAACAATGGGCCTACAAGATGGTTTTTTTCCTTTTCTTTTACGTTTTAAAACACAGTTTTACTTTCTTAAATCAAAAAATTTATTCAAATGGACATAATCACATAACCCATTTTAAGTCTAATTTTAGGTCGGGTTGGGCCGGGCTATTTTGAAAAAACCCAAGCCCGGCTCGAATTTATTGTGGGCCGGGCTTTTTGGCCCAAGTTTAAGCCCACGGGCCTATAAACATGTTCAAGCCCGTCCGGGGGCTGGGCTGGGCCGGGTCGGCCCGTCGGGCCACCCGGCCCATGAATAGGTCTACCCGTTGTGTAGCCTTCAAAAGAAACCGTTATTGATCATTAATAGAAGTTGTCTGCATAAATATTTCAGTATTTTACCTGACCAAAGTACACTTGAATGGCCAATCAACCTTATTAAATATTTTTATGACAAAATTACAAATATATATAATAGTAATTTATTATGTTATTAAAAATATGAGAATCATTAATCTCTATTTTCTTTCTAAATTGAGAATCATTTATCAATTTTGCAAATAAATTGAGAATCATTTATCAAATTTGCAAATAAATTGAGAATCATTTATCAATTTTACAAATACAGGCGAAGCAAATTTAGCATACACGAATTCAATTTTACAAATACCTTAGTAACAAACATTTCTATTACAAACACAAACATCAAAATTGGAAGAAGCAAGGCCAACCACTACCTAAACAGTTAATAGATACCCATTAACAAACACAAACATCAAAATTGCAAGGTGCCAAATGGCTGATTAGTAAGGTCACTTGATTGTAGGGGAGACTTGAGATCAAATCCCCTGTTGCGCAGCTCTTGGAGAAAAAAGAAAAAAAAAAAAAAAAAAGCTAACCGTACGTCGATTTCAGACGACCTTGCCTACTCTATCTCTTTTCTCCAAATGAACTAATGTTTTTTAGTCTAATATCTGATCACCAACAGATAAAATACAAAGAAAAAGAAGTGTACCTTGAAAATTTTTTTATCAATAATCAACAGAGAGTGGATCAAAAGCCCCAGAAAATCTGCTGTTTGAATCGTCTACCTAAACTTGGAATATGATCAGGCAGCAATATCGTGACGGATTTACAGAAGAAGAACCAAAATCACGACTTCCGGCCGGTGAGCTCAACTGAGTGAGATGACCGTCTGAAATCATGACCTTGACAATGGATTCACTACCGAGGTTCCTGTGCATGTACTCGGACACCACAACCGGAAAATCCCCAGAAGACGATTTTCAATATGAAACTGACGTAAAAACCGGCAAACGGGGAGTTATGGGACTCTAATCTATCGAAATGATAATGCTCGGTCCCACAGAATTAGGATCTTCTCTTCCCGGAGAGCGCTCCTCCGCGTGTGAGAAAGAAAGAATTTGTATTGGCTCCCGTTGCTGTGAGGTCTGTGAGGAATGATAATGTTGAACATAATCTTAAAAAATCAAGTATTCTTATAAATTCATTAATGCAATATTTTACTTAATATATACTAATATAAGGACTCCTGTGGGACATTATCATTAGTTCCATGGCCCCGGGCATCATTAGTGGTTTTGCAGCATGATGACTATTAGCTGTTATGTTTTGGCTAATCATATTTCCTTATTGCCCATCAAGTTTATGATCTTGCTTTCGCTATCTTTACTATATTTATAAATTAAAAAAGGATGAAAATAGTTGAAAAAATAATTATATTTTTTTATTTAAATTGTTACATTTTTTTTATTATTAAAAAAATTAAATTGGATTTGATCAGATACGAATTCAAATAAATATTTATGAGATGAGATTTGATCAGATTTGGATAATAGCCTGATTCAAATCTGATCCAATCCGCTGGCATCCCTAATTGAATGTCAATCTTCTCTTTACATGAGGATTTGTGATTAAAGTTGAGTTTGGTTGCAGGGTAAATTTGAACCCGATATAACTTTTGGACCCAATCCAGTTTTGCACCTATTTATTCTTAACTATGATTTGTACTCCTACCTATTACAAGATTTGTACTTCTCATCTCATTGATCTGTATTCACTAACAATGTAAACTTTGCATCTCAAAAACTGATGCAATTTGCACCACCTTCCTCCTACCTCAATTCTTGTCATCATCATCCAAGCCTTAGCCTTATTCCATCTCGCAAATTGCACTCCCAAACAAATAACCCTCCTCCTCCTTTCTCTATTATCTTGCATTATTTTAGAAAAAAAAAATCATTTCGGGGAGAAGCTTTAAATTTTGTATTTCATTTTTATTATTAATAAAAAGAAATTTTGTTTAATATGATGAATATATAATATTAAAGATGTATTTGATTTTTTATAATTTTATTATATTCTATTTATATTTAAAAATTTTATTATTCAATTATAATTATAACATTATGGATTGACTCATTTAACTCTAATAGTTGAACCACTACATAGTCTAAAAGAGAAAATGATTTTATTTGTCGACTATAGGGTTGGATAGATACGAGATGAACTAAGATGAATATTAGATCATTCTAACTTGGCTTAGCAAAGCATAAGGCTCAAATTTGAACTCGAACTTGACTTGAGGTAGAAATACAGCTTGAATTCAGCTCAATTCAAAAGCTAATATATTGGAGCTCAGGTGGCCTTGAGATTAACAATGAGCCAGGCCTACTTGAATTTGAGAAATCATGCTCTTCCGGTGTATAATCATGACCAGTGAGCACAAATAGATTGAGACTAGGGGGGGAATTAGCTGAGTAGGGAAAATAGGCTTGATTCGGCTTTGCCAGCTTCACAGATCAAGCTAAATATTATTTGAGCTTGGCTCAAAATTGAACTTATATATTAGGCTCAAACTGACATGAAGCTTGATTTAGACTAGATCAAATTTGAACTTCAGACCAATCCCTAATTGGTGGTTAATGTTTTCAATAAACCGAGGTGGTATTGTGTGAGTAGAGATATGGGAACAATTTGTGGGTAGCAGATTTAAAATGCTGTTGTTGCTTTTTGAGAAAAGCAAGCAAAACAACACGTTTTGAACTTATTGACCCCAAAACACATGTTTGTTAAGATACCCGATCTGCTCCGGAGACCACTCCTCACAGTACTTGCAGCCGCCCATGGAGCGTGGAAGAATACCGGATTGTTTATTAATATGTGATGGGTAATAGGATAAAAGAGTCCTGCTACTACTACTAGTAAGAAATTTTGATGAAAATCCTGTGTCTGATCATAATTTACGGTTTCCATTCAACTGTGCCGGCTGCCGCCTTGTAAAGCTTGCAAAAAGAACTTCCCAGCGTTCCGTTCCGTTGGGCACATCATATTGGAAGCTGCCGTGAGAGATCCTCAAAATTGCTTTTCAATATAATTTCCCGGCGTTGCCATCATATTTGAAGCCGCCTGATAAATTTTCTAAGTTTCTTTCGGAAAAGTACGAACAGGCCTTAACGCAGATTTCTGAATTCCACCGTAAATTTATAAATATTTAAAATGTCAAAAACCACATCCTATACATTCATACCTGGCTGAATTGTCATTCTCCCGATTTCTTTTTCTACCCACAAACATCATATTTGGGTCGGTCTGTACTTTTTCGTTCCTTTTTTGGCTGAATAAAAGTCAAGTCATTGCGTCAATTTAAAATAGACGTCACACCAACAGCCCATGAGCTTTGTTCAGTTATTCCAACTAAAATGGGCCTTCTGTTCGTCAATTTTAGGGCTATCGGCTAGCTGAACATTTCAGCCTCGTTAAAGTAAGTAGCTTAGTTGAATCTTCACAATTCTTCAGTTCAGCCTCCCAAACGGGCCCTAAAGATGGGAAAAAATAAAAGATTTCGTGTGTTCAACGACCCCACTTCCCTTCAGTCAAACACCAAATAGAAATCTCATTTGTCTATCAAATATTGCATTTAGATTTTTATAGCAGAAGACTAGTTCTTGGCTTATGCAAGCAATAGAAGGAATACTTGAATCGTGTCTGCTTTTGGGTGTCCATTTGCACGTGTAATTTGTTCTGCAGAGCAAATTGGAATTAATCAGATAGGGAGGATAACGAACCTACTCATAAGATAGTTGAAGAATGATAATTAGACAAACTTCAACATCTTAACAACAAGGAAACAGATGCTCTTGAATAATAAGTTTATCGTGCTGCTCCGATTAATTTGGGATGAATAAAATTACACAATGACAGCCATATGAACCCTATGGGAGTTCATAAATCATATTCTTTCATTTGGGATCTCTCTAAATAAGACAGCTCTGTAGCCCATGACAACTTTACTTACAGCACTCCAAAAGATCTTGATGTTTTATCTTCATCTGACCCAAGATGGTTCATATAATCTGAAATTGGTTGATAGAGGTGAAATTCGGGTTGGTTTAGCATTTTACACTGATTTGCAGTTTTGCACTTGGGCCTTTAGAATGGGTCCATTCAAATTTTGACAAAAGCTCAATTTGAGCCCACCCAAGATCAACTTGATCAGTACCTTGAATTTTAGGGGTTGTGTCAAGTCACTTTCCAAACTTTAAAATGTGTAAACGTGTTTATGCAGTACCCCAAACTTTCAGGATGTGTCTAATAGGTCCCTGTCATTAATAGTCTGCTAGTTGATTTTGGAAATGTCAAAACTATCCATCAGGTCTCATATAATTTTCTTTATATACCACTTTCACATAAACCAATTTAAACAAAACTCCTGTTTAAATTATGTTGTCATTCCACCTTGATTCAAAGCAATCTCATTATCTGGCTTGTGGAATGATAGATTATCGGTTATCGACGATGAATCTATGGTTAATGAAGTCAAATCAAGACACAAGTAAATTCTGAAATAAGCAAAGAAGAAACTAGGTTATACCATTGTGATGTAACATTAACAATCAACAGAACCTGTCCCTTGTAAATGCTAAGATCGACATCATTTCCCCTTGCGTCCTAGATGAGATAGGAAGGTTGTAGAAACCATCCAAGATGGATTTTAAAATATATAGGAAACTTTCATCAGCTACATAAAATCTAAAACAATAAAGAATATATAGAAAGTTGTAGCAATGGCGGTTTCAGCCATCGCCGGAACTTGGCCAGTTCCCGGCACCGTCGTTGGTTCATCCAAATCTGCTCTTGGCACCATCGTCAATTTTCGACACCATTGTAGCGGTGGTGCAACTCTTCAGTCTCAAGGTAGAAGATAATGAACAATGTCTTCTTTCAAGGGTAACTTTGATATTTTAAAAGTTTTAAGTGGCACATGCCATCATGTGATACAAAGAACTGATGGACTGTTAATGGTAGGGACCTATTAAACACATTCTGAAAATTTAGGGTATTGCATAGACACGCTTTAAAGTTTGAGGACTGACTTGGCATAACTCCTAAAGTTCGGGTTATTGATCAGGAATTTTTCATATAATACATAATTGATAGAGATGATGGAAGAACATGCAAAGCTCAAGGAAGCACTCATTCCGAGTGGTTTGCAATAATCAGGGGTCTTCAACAAGTAGCTAAAAAGAACTTCAAAAGGGTTCAATAATCTGCTAGCAGTTGATGTTTGAGGCTGAAGACACCCCTATATTTGGATTTACTTTGGGGTAATGTTTTAAAAACTAACTTGGAACGGGGCAATGTTTTAAAAAGCGACTTGAAACTGGATCTGCTTTGGCCACAATGGTTCAACCATCTGGTCTAAACAGATCAATCCATTGCAATTTACAAAACAAAAAGACAGCAAAAGAAATTGTTGTCTGGGTCGAATGGTTCAACGGTTCAACTGTTTGGACCAGTGGATTGTTGAGCAAGTCAACAATTTTTTACAAAAAAAAAATGGTTCAGGGGTGAAATTGAATGATTGCCTAGCCAGTAAATTAGCAGGGTAAGCCAACTTGCAGCTTCAAGTGCGGAATGCATCAAGCTTACCTTACAAACTTTCATAAATCGATTGTCTGAATATAATCTGATTAATTTTTTTCTTCACAAATTAGTAGCTTTGAATAGAATCATATTGTGAACTAAAATTGAATCGAATAATCAAAACTGATAGCTTTGTTTAATCATAACAATGGCTCAGCCAAAACACAGTCATCTTACTCTACTATATAAAAACAAGAGTTCCTAGTCGAGTGGGACGTGAAAATTTAAAAGGTTTTTTGGTGTATTTATTAAACTAGCAGAGAGGTAGGGGCAAAATATGATGATGGTAAGTGGTTTGTCAAAGGTAAATTATTATAAAATTTGCAAAAGGTAAACTTTTTAATTAAAAAATTTTTGAAAAAAAAGATCTATTTAAAATAAATAAAAATTTATGCATAATAATATATTTAATTTAATAAAATAGAACAATAAGTAAATAATCACGACCATTGGGCAATAGAGTAAAA